CACACACACACACACACACACAGAGTCACACAGAGTCACACATATACACAAACACAAACCGAGAAAACCACCCTAGCCTGTTTCCATCCCCTTTCCCCACGCCATTATCATCTCACCTTGTCCTTGCAAATAGTGCTCCTCACTCACTACTCCTCTTTCATCTTCATCGGCGTCTTCAACCTCCTTTTCATAAGTCAGCGCTGTCATCGGTAGTGTGTTCGTGCTTGTGCATGTGTGCATGCATGTGTGTGTGCGTGCATGTGCTTGTTCGAGTGGACGGGCGGGTGTTCGCGTGAGCGCTTGCTGTTGAGCACTTGCTGTTGGGCCAAAGATATGCGGGGGGGCGAACCGCTGAGCCCAAGAGGAGACCGTCCCGCCTGGAACCAGTTTCTTCCCACGCCCAGCAGCCCTAACTTCGGCTGGGCTGCGAAATCCTAATCCGGGCCGTTGGGCCGGTAGGACCGCGAACGTCCTGGATCGCCGTGCGATCTTAAGATCTTAAGATCGCGGGGCAATCCGGGCCGTCGGGCCGGTAGGTCCGCGGACGACGTGGATCCCAAAATTCTCACATAGGAACTTTAATAAGTGTAGGGAAATGTGTCTCAGCTACACACCTGCCAACGCATCACAAAAGCCATGAAGCAAAAATAGTACTCACAGAATATAGAACTCTCTCTCTCTCTCTCTCTCTCTCTCTCTCTCTCTCTCTCTCTCTCTCTCTCTCTCTCTCTCTCTCTCGCGTGCGAGTGCGCGCTCTCTCCCCCCCCCCCTCTCTCTCTCTCCCCCTTTGTATGTATGTGCGTGTTTTCACAGAACAACTCCACAAGAAGGTGGTGACTGTCACAGACCGTCCCATCAGACATCCACCCATGCATCGTGAAGTGGAAGCTGTGCCCAAGCTGAAATGGTAGACACATGGCCATGAGCTTGAGTCATGGCGGAATTAGATGGACACGATGAAAGAAAATTTTACATGCTGAAGACACTGGCAATCAGAACTGACAGTTTCAGAGAGTTCACAAATGGAAAAAATAACAACATAGGTGCAAAACATCACAAACTAATGGGTGCTTAACACTACAGCCTTACAGGAGTGGGGTGGATATCACGACCAGTATGGTTCCACTTTTTGAACACTGTGTCGCAGCTGTAGTGGTTAAGATACCTGGCTCTTGAGGCCGAGGTCGTCGGTTCGAATCCGTGCTTGCACGGTGGAGGACGTCGGGCTCATGCTGGGATGGGCAGCGCCATCCTGTAACCTCAGCCGGGGTGGAGCTAGATGTGCAGGTTCACTTAGCTGCTTAACATATCCTTTTCCATCACCTCCACTTTTCTTTCTTCTTCATTTATTTTCCGGGTGTTCGTTACCATTTTCAAGAAAGCGCTGAAAATAACAAGGCAGGCACAGAATCATCCCTAGAAATATCATGGTGCGATGGCAAATCCACGTAAACTGGACCCCTGAAGGGAACATCTTACCACATCCAGCCTGATCCAGATAAATTGGAGATCTGATGGAACATCTCATCTAATCAGTGTAGTGGTTGCCTGTTTGTCACCCTCTCAGGTGATGAACAACCTCTCAGGTGGCGAGCACCTGTCGGGAACATCCCATTAAATTCAGTAAATATAAATTGCACATGAAGGGAACATCTCATCGAATCAGCATAGTTGCTGCCGGTTTGTCACACTCTCAGGCAACGAACATCTGAAGGCCCCCACCCACTACTCCTGCACAAACAGTGGGCCTTGCACAACCGGTGCCAAGACGGCGACGCGGCTCTTGCCACTGACACAGTCCACACAACGTCAGGACAAGCACTTTTCAATCGGACTGTACTACAGGACTACACCACATCTTTAGGCCAAAGAGGGACAGAGAGCACGAGAGAAAAGGTGGGGGTGGCACAGATGCGGACAAGAAAAAGAGAGAGAGAGAGAGAGAGAGAGAGAGAGAAAGGGCCGGAGGCGACGGGGGAGGGTTGGGGGGAGGGGGAAGGTGAGGAGAGAGATAGGGAGAGAGGGCTCCGAATCATGAAGCTTGAGCCGGCACATTGCATGGAAAGAAGGGAGGAGAGCAGTACCCACCACTCAAATCATCTCACCTAACGAATCAGCAAGCATACTTGTCAACTTGGACCCCCTGAATGGCGGAGCAGTCTTCTTTGTTGTCAGACAGGACAGCACATCACCAAGTCTGGAGACACCACAACATGATCAAGTAGCAAACAAAATGATCAACATCGGCAGAAACGACAGTAACAAGCTCTTCAAAGTTTCCTCAAACATTCCAAGACGGATGGCTTTCCCTACGGTGAACTATCATACTAGCACTTCACAAGAGATGGCCTTTCTTACTCCCAACTGCAATGAACCCGACTGCAATCAATCGCCAACCCAACTTGCAGCACACAGAAGACTCACAGAGTTTCACACCAAGCAACAAAACCACGAATCAACAACAACAAGATGAAGCACCCTCCAAACTCTTCATTAATATACATTTTTTTCAGATACAAGCTGTCAATGGCCACTATCGCCAGCAAACCCGAACCAGGTAACTTCGCTCCTACTCCCTCTCGCCTCCAGCTGATGTCTCTCAACACTTCAAGCACTCACCCTTGCGTTCTCTCTCTCTCTCTCTCTCTCTCCCTCTCCCAGCTTGGATCGCTGACTCTCACTTCCTGAATACACTTGCTCTCCTACCTACTTCGCCTTCCATCCACCCTCACGACTACGGGGGCCGTCTTCCTGCCCAGCTACCCTAATTATGTCGCTGGTCGCCATTCCTCCCCAACGCTCCACCCGAGTGCACAATCCGTTGGTTGCACAAGTGCTGCAGCAGAAAGTGGATTGAGAAGTGACCCGATGCTGCACCGTAGCAACTATAAATAGCAGCAAAACTGAATCATTGTTAGCTCCAGACCGGTAACAGTTGTTGCGGCCTGTTGGCTGCAAGTTGCCAGTTTTGGAACTTACCGGGCTTTCCCAGGATGCTGCTTCAAAGTTAGACTTTGGGACTGTGGACTTTTCTTGTCGGCTACCAGGCACCGAAGAGAGTCAACTTTGCGTGGCTCTTGTGGTTGGTATGCAGTGTCAGCTACCAGGCACCGAAGAGAGTCAACTTTGTGTGGCTCTTGTGGTTGGTATGCAGAATGGTCGGCGGTTTCTTTGGTGTGTGGAGCGATGGTTGACGAATGTTTGACGTGGCCAAGTCTGTTCATCACTCTGTTTTTTACTTGGCAACAACAGTTTTTTTTTGGCTGTGACAACTATAGCCTTCGTGTATGTATCTTGTGTATGTGCATTTCTGGTGTATGTATGTCATGTATGGGCACTTTTCGACTATCTGTGTCCTGACTCTGCATCTATGGCTTCTACAACTTAAGTGTCAGACCCTACAGACCTACTGGACTCCTAGGACCCTCTAACTGGGAGCTACTGAGACTGGGCCCAGGTGGGACTCTGGGACCAGGACTCGGGAGTCTGGGACCACGACTCAGGACATGGACACCGCCTGAAATCCTTTCACAACCAACAGAACCAGGTATATTTCTCAATCCGGACCATTACGACAAGATGAAGGAAGCCCAATTTCCACATTTAACTAATTGGCTCAAGTAAGATCCCTGGCCCTACTGGATTCTCCTTCTCCTAGTCATCTCTTCTGCCCACCTGCTCCCGCCTCCAGCACAAGCATCACTGCCTGAACCTGTTCACAAGACCAGCATAAATATCTTTCTGACCTCCTCACAATTACGGAAGTATAAGGACACACCATCTTGCTCAAACTTAGCAATACACTGTGATCCTAGCAGGCTTCCCAGTTCAACTCCTCACAATTACAGCAGTATGTCCAGGAAACAAGTCCATCACAGCCATAAAACCTCTTCTACGAAGTGTGTCATAGTGCGACTAAACCTTCACAAGATCCACATTTAGCATCCACATATGTTTTGTTACTTTGCTATTTTCCTGAGTTGGTGAGGTATGGGGTAAGGGAGGGGTGGGTGCAGACTACACAGTGCATGGCGGCCTCGGAAATGAATTTGCTTGGTCACATAAAACATCCGACGTTACGTTCATTTTATCTGGGACTAAGTGATATGTTCATTGTATCTGGGACTAAGTGATACACTGTCAGAGAGGGTTGCCACGGATTATTCTTGGGGACTATCACATAAAACATCTGAGCAAAAAGGGTCACTGACGGATTACCTTAGAGAGTCACTAGGCAGCTACTTTGTTCTACGCTGAGCTCATTACTATCACACACAACATAGATCTAGTAGTCAATTATGAGCAATAGTGGCAGGGAGTGTCCTGTGCTACCCCACCTTCTCCCCTGAGTATGCCGTTACTTTCCCTCCGTCCACACACTGTCTTCCTCTCCACCAATATCTGCAATTACTTTCAATGCTATTCAAAACTCACGAGTTAGAACATAGCCTGGACATCAATGGCATCTCTATGTGCTGTCCTTTGATATGGCAATGCCATTTTCCAACCGTTCATAGTGTGCTTGCGACACTGCAATGCTCACTATCATCACTACCACATTCCAGAGTATCTTCCCAGTCATGTTATCTTAGTTTCTGTGTGGCCATGGCATCCTGCAAGAGTAATCACAAACTTCCAACATGAGCATCTTATTTTTGTCCTTCCATACATAACCAAAAAAAAGAAAAGACTCTTCTAGAGTTTCTGGGCCAATAAGTGCGTGATATACACCTCCAAATCCTAAAACAGCAGAAGAAATTAAATGCAAGACCCCAGAAACAAAATAAGGGAATGTATTAATAACTTCTCCACCTGGTCGACCTGACTGAGGGGGGGATTAGCATGTGATCTTACGTTGAGATGGATTTGTTGATATGTAGACTCTCTGTGAGACGATCTCCACTTGCATCAGATCTTGACCGCTCACTACCTGCCATGTCAACCATCGATAACTTGCTATACTGCCTCTCGCCGGCTCTGGAATCGTGATACTCCACATGGACTGTCACTATCCTGCAACCAATGTGAGTACACAATACAGCAAACTTTACTCCTTTTACACTTCAGCAGCCATAGTCATAACTTATGCCACTTCACATGTTTCAGTAGGACAGCCCAACCGCTTTGAGAAAACCTCCTTCCTTGCTTCCAAGTGAACAATACATGAAACTTGACAACTCACAAGATTAAGATGATCCGGCCACATGTCACGAAAGAAGCACACTCTTACCAAACAAGCCTTCTTCTAAGTATGGTGCATTGTCCGGAGCATTGTTGTTTGCATCTCAACTCAAGATCGAGAATACATTCAAAGCACAGGATGGCTGTAACAACTTCTAATAAGAGGAACTGGCAGTTAACAGCCGCAACTGATACACATGGACCGGAGGGCAATACCTTCATACTACTGTACACCATGAGACTTTACCGATGGGAAAAGACTTCCGGATGTCATGCATGGTGATTTTCTCCACACTGAAATGGTACCCCTACACAGAACAAGCACGAGCAGCGCTGTCCCACCTACACACACCCGTGCATCGATTCATTCATTCCTACATTCGCCTCGCAAGCAAAGGGGTCATTCCATTCTACTTGCAGGACGCACTTGTCTCGTAATCGAAGCCCACCAGACATGGCATCCACTGAATGAGGGGCGCAAAGGGAAATCTTTCCAAACAGGAATGCCAGCCGTTGACTGAGTGGAAGATAGAACCAGAAAAACACGTGTTACACTGTCTTGTCCACGAGGAGTAATGGGTAAGGGCGATCACTGTAACTGGATGCAATGTCATGCAGTTCGTTGGCCAGCACCTCCAAAGACACATGTGAAGGACAAGCAAACATGTGAACCAACGAGTGGAGCACCAGACAATAAGTATACTGCTCGTGCATGCAAAAAATACGCTGGCGGACGGGCAGCGTCCACACGGGCAACGAGAGAGATTGGAGCGAGCCATCCTGCAAGACATGTCATCCTGCACCACTCATACCTTTCATAAAATTGCATGTAACAGGATATTCAACCCGAGGTGCTGAAGAACTTGACAGGACTGCACCGCAATTCACAAATCGAGAGCAACCTGGGATGAATACAGAACCAGGTGGGTAGGCGAGTTCTCGTGAGCCAAATGCAACAGTCAAACTTACAAGTGCGAACGATTCTGCCGATCACTGCTTCTTGGAGTTCCACTCGATCTGCTCCGGTTGCCTTGACGCAACACATTCACAAAATCGTTTGCACTTACCACCTCCTCCTCCAGGACACTACAAACGACACCGCCATCTTCAGGCAGCCGAAAATCCCTCCTGCAAAACAAGGAGCCCCATAGGGGTGTGCATCAACATTCAGAGAACCCAGATCAAAATCATCCGTTCAGAGAACCCAGATCAAAATAATCCGTTCAATCGAATCAATTATATACATTTAATTTACTAAATTCCTGCCTTAAACCACCAGTCTCTCTTTCCCAGCTATTTGTTCCGACATGGCAGTTGACCACCGTGTTAACCGGAGCCAGGCCTACCGGAGAAAAAAAGATGGCGGCACCAAGCAAACCAAAAATATTATGTGTGTGCTCGTGTCCGTTTTTTCTTCGGCACGCAGCAGAAATCCAGGTCAGGAAAAAGAGGGTCAGAGGGACTGGTGCTTTTAAGTTCACCTCGCGGAATGCTTGAAAGACGGCCACGCTTGACATTATTTTGCTTCAAGTTTGAATAACGTTACCGTTGGCTGTTCCCTTCTCAACATGGTTGACCAAACAATGGTAGTGTGTTCTCGCCAGTGTTGTCGGCATCTTGCCTTACATCAACACGTTCGCTGATCAATATCTTTTTCTGTTGTGTGATACAAGACACTCCTGCACAGAGGACAGCAAATATTCAATTCAATTTAACATAATGCATTTTTTCCATCCCTCCCCCTGCGCCCTCCCCCTGGACCTCACTTGCACACTCTGCAATTCTCTCCCTAAAACCCTCGTTGGCACAACAAACCCTTCCCATTCCTCATTGACTTCACCTCTCTCTCTCTCTCTCTCTCTCTCTCTCTCTCTCTCTCTCTCTCTCTCTCTCTCTCTCTCTCTTACGGGCACGGTGCACACGCCCGTCCGGATTTTCCTTATTTTTTTTCCGATGGTCTGGCGCACCCTTGCGGATTTTCCTTTATTTTTTACTTATCTTTTTAGTGGTCCCGATGCACCACGGATCAGATATGAAACTGATGGGGACAGATGATACTTGTTGATGGTGGTGGGGGAGGGGCGCCCTAGTTAGTTAGGGTTTCTCTCTCTCTCTCTCTCTCTCTCTCTCTCTCTCTCTCTCTCTCTCTCTCTCTCTCT